AAAAAAGGTCCAATTAAAAATTTATCAATTATTCCTGCCCATACGTTTAAATTAAACTGGTGTTGATGTCTTGAATGCACACTAACATGTGGGTTTTCTTCATCCCAATTATGATTATTATGAAAATTGAATATATCATTCCTGGTAAAACTAGTTTACTAGAGTTTGCTCTGTTTATAAAATTCATTATATCTTATAAACGAAGACACATAGAACATATATTTATGACTTTTTTTTTCATTATTTTTAGGCGTACAATCAGCTCCCGAAGTGGGTCCCACAAGTTACGAAAGTACACTCTGTATATTCTGTGAATCTTTCTAGATGAATCAAGATACAATAATCGTGCAACGACGAATTGTTACGTTCTTTTTCTTAACTTGCGGAAATCAGACCAATCTAGAAACTCCGATTTTTAACGAAATGTTCAATAGAATTCACTCAGAAATTGAACGATCCAACAACGAAAAGTGACGAGACTGAAAAATAAATAGGTCCAAGTGCGAACAAAGAGAATGTAATGTTTGAGCAAAACGATCCGGGTTCAATGTCCGACGATTGAAAAGTAAACCACCCCCCCCCCCCACCCTTCCATCCACCCATCAAACCTATCAAACTGCAACTACTAATTATTCCACTATCTGTACCGTCTGTTAAGCGGATCCCATTGTGGAAAGGTTTTCCGACGAACAGGGCGTCCGAGGAACATCCCACGCAAGCCGAGCGTGAAGCAGTGGGCCGAGAATTGGAATAATTAGAAGTCACCGGTCGCGGACCGCGCGGGGTGGAGGCAGAATTACGAACCGCGGCAGTCTGGACACGTTGCTGACCAAGGACAGGGAATTTCCGAGCCGAAAGGTGAGAAAGGGGCTCGCGGGGTGTAAGAAGGGAGACGGGCAGCAACGGGTGAAAATTTCGCCCCGATGGTGGCCCGAATTAAACGTTTAATTGTAAAGGCGACACGTGCGAGCGCCGTACGCGAAACGAAGGACGAGAGTAGAAAGAGGGATGATGGCAGAGTGAGCTGGATGTAGAACAGAAAGATGGAGAGAGTGAGTGAGTGAGTGAGAGAGAAGGAAAGAGAGGTATAGAAGGTTGTAAAGGGGGGTTAGAGGTGGTTCCGCAAGGGTCGAGCGGGCGGGGAAGGGCGAATATAGGTAGGTCGGAGGTGAGAAGGTGGTAGAGGTGGAGGTAGCAATTAACTTCTCCTCGCGAGATTAGAGCGAGATATTACGAGATATCGAGCGACTTAACGGCAACACGCGAGAGACTTCAAAGGCAGTAATAAACTGCCTCTAATGAACCCCTTATCGTTGCTACCACCACCACCCTCCAACTTCTTCAGCGACCTACCGTCACTACCACCATCATCGCCGCACCACGGAACCAACACCCCCGCTGGTTGGCAGCAGCCAGAGACGAACGAACCAGGCCGCCGCGCCGCGCCGCGCCGCGCCGTACGTATATACGTGTACGTGTCCGCGTGCTCTTTACTGCTCGAGCCCGCATCGGTCGCTCGACGCTGAAAATACTCTTCTTCTTACTCGCCTACATACCAAACCCGCACCTCCTGTACGTACTGTACACGCGACACGACGTCGAGCCCGTGTTCCACGTCTCCGTGCGTTCCACGCTGCTTGTTTTTCTTCCGCCTCCTCTTCTTAAACTTTTTCCTCCTCCCTCCCCCATTTTAGCGGACTTTTTCTCCGACCCTCGTCCTCTTTTATCCGCGACACTCTACGCGCTGTTGCGCGACCAGCGCGATAAGGTGCCATTACCGCGTCGATCGCGATTCTTGTCATGCGGAAAACTCGTCCCGCTTGGTCGTTTGCGTGCCAGCCTCTATTACGTTCTCGCCATTCTGTAAATACTGTCCCATCGTCCACGGAACGATCGTCGCTGCGTAACACGCTGCTCTTTGCACCCGTGATGCTGCGTTAATCGTGCGATCAACGATCGTGCATACACACACACGCACACGCACATACACACACTTTTGCCTAGGTGAACTGGCGCGTGGTTGCGCGACAGCAACGGGACGATACAATGAAATCTTTCATAGAGGAGGAGAGCAGGGTGCTTGGTGTAGCGTGTGCGTCAGATCGATTTCTAGCGCGTCATTGATCGCGTGTCGTCGCGGAAACGGTTGCGAGGTGCGCGTCTCGAGTGTAACGTCGATCCGATCAAACCCGCGCTCCTTTCTCTTCTTTCTTTCTTTTTT